TATTATCTCGAGATCCCGACTTATTATCTCGAGATCCCGACTTATTATCTCGAGATCCCGACTTATTATCTCGAGACCCCGACTTATTATCGCGAGATCCCGAGAAAATAAGTCGGGATCTCGAGATCCCGAGAAAATAAGTCGGGATCTCGAGATCTCGAGATAATAAGTCGGGATCTCGAGATAATAAGTCGGGATCTCGAGATCTCGACTTAGTTTCTCGGGATCTCGCGATAATAAGTCGGGATTTCTTTCCTTTTTTTTTTTTCTCCATGTCCCCTTAGGGGCTCCGTAGAAAACAAACATTCAACCTAGATTGGTAAAATTTATAAAAGTTGCTAAAAAGAGAATACTAAAACATTTTTTTTTTAGAAAACAAGGAATGTGTTACATAGTTGTTTCCCATTAAATCAAATACATTTTAGTAAACAGACAAAAATGACCGCGTTAAGTCGTCTGAGCTGAATGCCAAGTGTAAATGAGTATTTTCTGGTCCCTGCTAGCTGAGGAGTAAACACACTCTCAGAAAAAAATAAATAAAGAGCGGATCACACAAACCTGATGTTCAAAGGAAAGTTTAGCTCATTCAACTTTATAAAATCCACCACCTGCTAATGCAGGCTGACATTTCTGACCAGTTTTCTCTCATAAGTTTGCTCCTTGTTTAGCTCCATTCATCTTCCCATCAAATATGACCAACTGCATCATCACCATATGCTGTATCCAGGGGCTGTGCACAAAGCTTTACACCAGACAGCGACCTGCATGTAGGCCAACGAGTTTAACATTTGTAATAACGACCCAATTATTATCCAGAGTATTTGAGGAGGCTACGACAGAATGAGAATCTGTGTAAACATTTACGTAGCCGCATCGTGTTTTAACTTTGCAATCATTTATTTGTCAGTGTTTGGAAAGCAGAGTTGCTGAAACTAAATGCCTTGCTGTATAACTTGCAGTACGTCCTGCATAGGAACAGAAGTCCCACCCCCTGCTGGCGGACATGATAAGTGCAGCTTTCTGGTTCCTCAACTTCGCTTGTCAAGCTATAGAAGGCAGCTTCCATCTTTTATGCATGTTGACAATCAATTCCTGAATCAACATGTTCAGTCGATGACATAAATTAGGCAGTATGATGTTGTTGTTTTTTTTAATTGTGTGTGAAATGTTTTCAGTTAATATTTATCACCCAGTATGTCACCGGTTTGACAAAATCTCTTGAAACGATGGATAAAACAAACTAAAAGGTTTGTGTTGTTTGCTGGTCGCTTGTTTTACTGTCCGACATTCATTAAAAACGCAGGAAAATGTTCTTGCAAGTAAATAATTTAATTTATCCTACAAAACAAAACAGTAATTCAGTGCTTATATAACATATCCTGTTAGCTTTTCCTGAAATGATTCACCATTATAAATGCTAAAAAAACAACACAAACAAAAAGAGAGCCTAATCAAAGACAAGTACCTCACTTAATAGGCACATATTGTTGCAGCTTATTACACAACACAATCTCTAAATTGTGGAGAAAAGCAGAACACAGAGCTTTGCAGCACAACCATGATATTTGGAGGACTGATAAAATGTACTCTTTGTGAATAATATTGTGTTGCCAAGACTGAGCAAGAAATAAAAAAAAAGGATGAAAGAAGAAATTTTAGGCAGGATATGTTAAAAAAAAAAAGTTGCAACAAGGGCAGAGCAGAGAAAAAATTAAGACATGATTCAAATAAATCTGAGGAAGATAATAAAAAAAAGAAATCCAAGGGGGCGGGGGGGGGAAGAGTAAAAACATGCAATCAGGAGATGAGTGTGGGTTTAAAGAGACGCAAGGAGACAGAAACAGAAAAAGACAGCATTAAGCAGGAAGGAGGAGGGGGAAGAGAGAGCAGCTCTGTGTAACATGCTGAAAGGAGGGAGCTGCTTGGCAGGAGCAACGTTTGGCATTTGGATAACAAAGCAAGATAGCCTGCCTTCTCCTCTCGGTCCATAGAGAGAGACAGGAGCCGCCAACCCTGCTGCCCACAGAAGATTACACAAATATGACAGCCACACTGCTAAACACACGCACGCACACACACACACACAGAGAATACTCGGCTTAAATGGATCTTCATCTCCCTTCTCTCATTTCATTCACACACAGATGTACTGGCTCAGCTAAAAATACTGCATCTCTGCATATGCGTGATTCACCATCAGCCTGGAATGGAACACCTGGACTAGGTGAAATTATGACATAGGGGTGCTGCTTGTGTGTGTGTGTGTGTGTGCGCGCGCGCGCTCAGGTTTGCCATCCTGCACCCTCTGATAAACCTGTAAAAGTCGCCTTAGGTCAGCAGTTTTCTTTTCGATTTAAAATGCTTCTCCATCTTTCTTTTGTTTGGAGGCTGAACATATAAATGTGTTATCAACAGTCTAAACATAAATCAAAAGTCCAAACATGAACATTTGGATTTGGATGTGCTGCATATTGTTTTGCATCTAACTTGTGTAGAGGATAAACAGCCACGGAGCTCAACTCTCACCTGGAAAATGCTCGCTCCATATGGTGTCCTCCATGCGTTCAACAGATTGTCTTTTCCTGTGCTGACAAACCACTTTCCTGAAATAACAGGAACACACAGCGCAGCACGTTACCAGGAGTCCAGGGACAACTGGTCTCCAAGTTGCTCTTGGAAGATACATAAATGTAGGATAAAATAAATAAATAAAATAAAATGCTTGTGCTGGTGCTTGTGCTTGTGCGCGTACCGCAGTATGCGAACTTGAGGGAGAGGACGCAGCTCTCGTGGAGGTGCAGCTGGTACTTGTCGGGTTTGGACACATGCAGCACTTCCACGTTGCTGCTCTCCATCCCCACAGCCAGCCACTCGCCTGTGGGACAGTAACCCAGGGAGAAGATCTGGGAAACAGGAGATGGAGGGGGAAGGGTTCGAGAAGGAGAAGATAAAAGCTCAAAAGTTATTTGAATAGGTAATTGATTCAGATAGAGGAAGAAAAAAAGAAAAAAAAATCACTATTTTTTTTTTTTTTTAGTTTAAAGAAATTCACCAAGATATTGACTGGTGGCCATAATGGATGGATTTCCATCAGGATTGGCCCTCACCGGTAATCAGCCAGTAGTAAAATAAAACAAATATCTATTTTTCAATTAGTGAACAGACCATGTTAAGACTGTGTGCTTCCAGAACATGCAGCTTAGATGAAGGAACCAAAAGGGTTTGGGCTACAATTTGCATCATGTAGCAGATCAATGTGTGGAACGTGAATTGAGCTTCGTGTTACAGTCCTGATTTATTTAGCTATAAATGCAACCACAGTTTTGACGGATCCTCGTCATGTTATCCGCATTAGATTCTGCTAATTGTTATATTTCTAAGATCCTACAGACTGTGGAAGATCATTTGGTGCATCACAGACTCCTGCCGTTTCTGAAGCTCTCTGTGCTTATCATAATATCACTACGACACACTCATTTCAAAATCCCGTAAAGTTTGCAGTGGTTAGGGTTTGTGATTTTCCCCTCAGGTGGGTCGACTTCAACCCCCTGTGAAAACCTTTCAGCTGATCGTGAGGCATAAAGAACATGAGTTGATTACAAAGCAAAAGATGATTGTAAAGCAGCAAAAGTTAAATTATGCTAGTGTTGTCATCATTCCCGTATTTCAAAATGAAATCCAAAGAACCACACATATGTAAGAATCTACTTCCAACAGCATTAATTGTGAGTATCTGATTGAAAAGATAGTTTAGGAACAACCCAGCAGTCCTCAGGGTGAGCAGGATAAATCTACACACATTTCAGATGCATTGTCTTCCAGGCTGTACAATACACTGTAGCACCTACCCAGCTCCTGAAAATACTCTCTCTCCTGGGCTACAGACTGCAACACAAATCCCACTCAGTTCCATCATTAAAAGTTGGAAAAGGGTTTGTTTTAAATAAGCATTTTTTTTTATCTTTTCTCACTCAAAACATTAATTTAACCTTACCATTCCCTAAGCAACACTTATTAAATAAACATCTTCAAGGTGTTCATCTGAAAACTATGGCACTCAAATAACTTAGATTTTTTTTCTTTCTAGTGCATTAATATACGTTTATGTTTTAGTTGCTTTGTTTTTTTGTTTTTTTCTTACCTGTGAGGTGAAGTCGTGCTGCTGCAGCTGCCGGCCCTCTCTCAGGTCCCAGCAGCGGACCGTGTTGTCCAGCCCTCCCGTCCAGAGCTTGGTGCCATCATTGGAGATGTCGATGCAGCTCGCTCCGTCTGTGTGGCCCTGGAACTGTCTGCCAAGGACACAAACGCACGCACGCACCCACACACACAAGAGCTTCAGAGAAGAGAAACACACACACACAGCTGCAAATACACAAATCCTGCAGACTCTGCTTTCTGTGTGCGTCTTTGCTTCTTTTCTGCTAGAGGTGTCAGAATGAATATATTTTATTCCCTCTTTCCCTGCAGCACTTACTGCCCTGAGCCCACCCACACATGATCCTTTTTTTTTTTCCTGCCAGTCCTCGTGAGCCTTACCTCAGCACCTTCCCTCCCCCTTCTTCCTGTGTTTCTTTCTCTCCTGTCATGCCAAAGCAGGCAGTTTTAATCTCTTTATACCCCCTGTAGCAAGTTTATCCTTCATCTCTCTCCTTCTCCTATTACATTCCTTACATGTTATCTTCTTTTCCTTCATGCTTTTCTTACACTTCTCCCTCTTCCGTGAATTTCAACAGCAGATCAAATCGAAATTCTTTTGAACGTTTTCAAACCTACCTGACCAGCGTCTGGTTGTGCAGGTCCCAGACGACGATGTTGCCGTCGCTGCAGCAGGAGAAGCAGACCTTGTTGTCGGGGGAGATGGCCAGGGCGTAGCAGGCCGGGGCGGACGACGTCAGCTCCGCCTTGATGCGGGGAGTCGGCGTGGCCAGATCCCAGATGGACAGCGTGCTGGCCTCGCCTCCGACGATCAGGGTCCGACCGTCGGGGAGGATTTTACAGGAGCGGATGTAGTTATCTCTGTTCTGATTTGAAAAGATAAGGAAAGAGGTTACCACCAAGAGCACAGGAAAGGAAATAGCCAAGTAATTCTTGTAGATGTCTTTGTATAGATGTTTTACAAAATAACACATTTGCAGCTGGTTAATAAAAAATATTTTCTGTCAAGGATTTTTTTTTCTATCCAGCAAAATTTGAAAATTAATCCCAGATTTTTAATTTTAAGAAATTATCACTTGTTTTTTTTTATTTTTTTATTATTATTATTTTTTTGCTGGTATGCGATTCCTTATGTCAAATTACCATTTGAAGTGGAAATTAATATCGCTCTGTTTAGTAATGTTACCATCAGAAACATAGTTACTAGAAAAGAAACAAAAAATCTGATCACCGCAGCTTCTGTGCATCGTGACCTGATTTTAAACTTTCCGTGAAAGTAGGGTTTTGCTTGACCTAGTTCTGCTAAATTTAATCATTTTTGGTCTCTTATCCAATAAGTGTTTGAAATGTGAATTTTTTAAATTTTTTTCTTTTTTTTTCAGAGGGGGCGGGGGGAGTGGTCGGGATAATTTAGGAATACTTTTCTGAAAGAGGTTTTCCCTTCACCCCTCATCCATCATGTCTCACCAGACAGTCCAGCTGGGCCATGGGGCTCTTGCTTCCCGGCTGGCTGATGTCCCACACCTTGACGCAGCCCTTGCCTCCGGTGTAGACGTGGCGTGTGGAGGTGCTGATTGTGACGGCGCACACCACCTCCCCGTGGCTCAGCGTGTGGATCTGACGGGCATGGCGCGGGATGCCCGGGCCCAGCAGGGCGTCGGGGGGGAACGGCACCGGCTGCATCTGGCCGTCGGCGCTCACGTGGAACGAGTAGGCGCTGGGAAGAGGAGAGAGGAAAGAACTGATTGAAAGATGCATTTATGATTGAAACAAGAGTGATGTTATATATTTTTTTTTTTAGAATTTAAGATGCAAAGGAGAATAAAAAAGTAAAATGTACTAAGGAACTAGATGGAAATCAATCAATGAGCGCACAAAAGCACAGCAACAATTAAATACACAAAATTCAATGAGAACCACAGAAAGCTCACACATTGGTGTGAAAGTTGCAAAACTGTGTTTGTTCAAATTTGGGCAAATTACTGAGCTCAGAGCAGCTGTGGGCGCAAATGCATGATGGCAGATTGTATTACAGGCAGAGGCGGCGTGGCACTGCTAATGGCCGATCAATAGAGCAGCGGCTGGAAGCCAGGCCTGTTTTATGATTTCAAATTAGCAGCACAAGGATGAATTGCTGCTCTGTAAGACAAGAACAATATCACAATAGCTGGATCTGCCAAACAACATAAAAAGTGTAAATGTGTGTGAGCACTGCAGATCTTTCTGTCAGTGGCTGGACTTTAGGTAACACGGTTACAGTCAGTTGAAAACAATCATGAGCAACTCTTTCCCTTAACAGATTTCTTGAATTTTGACTTTTTTTTTCCATTTTTGTGCAATTCGCCAAACAACAGGACACATTTGAATCTAACAAAGGAAAACTTTGTTTCACTACATCAGGGAGATCTCACAATGTGTTTTTCATAAAACATTTAAAAACTGCTGAACATTTTCCAAAGCAGAACTAAAGATGTGACAGTCACCTGAAAACCCATCAGAGCTGGTTTTAATAATACAACATCCAGCATGTTCTCAACCTCTGCTGAAGACGGTGATGAACAAAGAAAAATGGATATCCAAACTCCTTTTTTACATCAAAGCCCATGACATGAGAAGCTCGGATAACAACATATTTTCACAAGCCCGTTCTTCCTGACCGTTCCTGGGTCCAGCAACACGTCTGCTAACAAAGTCAATCCAAACACATGCTACACATCAACCAATACAGGCATGCTTCCCATCTACGCAACAGGAAAAAGCTCTTCTAACTTATGAAAACGATATTTTCTACATCAACAACAACCCATCTTCAACACTACGCAGCTAAATGAGAAAAACATACTATATGCTATAGACGCATATCCGATAAAACACGCAGCAGCAACAGCCCAACATGGTCCCATCTACACATTGTGGAAAAAAAGACTATTTTACCAAGCACTGTCAGGTGAAATCACTCAATCAGGTTTGTTCATATATTGTTGCACAATACAGAGCTTGTAGGTCAGCCAATGATGAAGCAGTTCTGGGTGAAAAGCTCTGCCAGGCAGAGACAACACATAGGTTTTATACCAAGGTAAGTGTCAGGTTTTTTGCTTTCCTTAAACCACCTCAGCTTCAGCCCAAACTTGAAAAAGCTTGCTTCCCTCAAAGAAACGCAGGAACCACTCATCTCAGCGACATCTTTTATTTATCTTTTCTTTTTGTCTTTAGATTATTCCAGTTGACAGTGTAAGACCACCAGGACTTCACATAAGTAGTCAGAGTAGTCACAGAGCAGGTTGAAAACTTACAAATGAAAAAAAAACAAAAAAACAATTACACATCACAATGAACTAATTAACTAGTTTTCCAGGTAATGTTAACAACCTACTTTTAAGTTAACAGTGAATGAACAAATAAACTGCATTCCAAACATGTAAAACTCATTGCATCACCAAGGCTAATTTGGTCTTCTGAGTGCAGATTAAATGATATAAACTGTGCATAATGCCCAGTTCCTACCAGTGGTGTCTTTGTGGAAGCTTGAAGCTCTTTGTCTGAAGAGATCATTGTGAGCACAGGTGTGCCGAGTTATCTTATAGACTTCAGATGGGCCTGAGTGAAAGGGATAGATGCGCTTGATTCTCTGTGACGTAAGTGCCAGTTGGGTGGAGATAGTAAATGCACTCACAAGTGTACCACTTGCTGTTTTAACTTGACAGTAAGGAATCCAAAACATGGGGAGAGTCAGTCTGGTTCCCTTGCAGCTGCAGCAAAACAACTTCCAACCTGGTGTGTGTAGCCCAAACAGGTTCACTCGGTGAGAGTTCACAGGCATTTAATATAACATGATGAGCAGATGTTAACTTGTAGTAATTTTCCACCACACTACACAAACTACATGTCAGATTATCAAAACCGAAGCTCTGCTGTTTCGATCACCACCAGAATCACCAAGCCAAGTGCAAAACTCACTGAACCAGCAGCCAAAGAAGACGGAAAAACACGGCTCGTTTCACGAAGCTAAAAACACGAATTCAGTCCTGCTTTTGCCGTTTCGTGGTCATAATCCATGTTAGAGTAAATATTTCCGCTCAGCTCCCGTGATCAATTGTCCTTGCATCACACTGATGGTATTCCTCACTATTTTCTAAGCCACAAAAACATAACCTGACACTTTCTTTTATGCATGTTAGAATGTAATCCTCTTTCATCCAGATGACTGACAGTGTGCAGGAAAATGTGGAGGAAAGTGGCGACATTTTACATTCGCACTGCATGCAGCTGGATAAAAACCCTGGTCACTCCATGAATTTGTCACCTCGTTAAATACATAAACATCTGAAACGAATAAAGAGAAGAGAAAGCCCTCAAGTTTTAAAGAGTTAAATAAAAGTTGGTCTCAGGAATGGAAATCTAAAATACGCTGAATCGTGGGTTTGTGATTTAATCTAGGAGGAGTTTGTTTATGCTGCATGCAAACTGGGGGGAAATATCACATCTAGGCTTGTAAGTCGTGTAAGTATGTACTTACGGTTTTCCACCAGAGGAACCAGGGAGAGAGGAGGACAGGCCGGGAGCTCTTAGGTGAGACCGAGAGTCATACGCCACCTGGTTGGAAGAAATACAAGAATAAACTACAACTTGACATGGATTTAAATAACCGATTTACACATTGGCTTCACAACAATGACAGAGCAAATGGAATTGGTCCAATTCATTTCATTTGAACTCCTATGTGCTCGGGTGAATGATGCAACACACAGACGTGACACAGATTACATGTAGGAATGTGAGACAGAGACAGCCGACCTGAAACTTTGCCTTCCCTACAGATGTTTCTCTCTATGAAACTTGATTAAACATTGTAAACATGACAACTCTGAGTGTATAACGAATGCACTGCGCTGATACGGACAATGCAGAGCCAATTCATCAAATATTTCAACAGTACCGGGACAGTCGGGAGGGCTGGATCTGAATCATAAATCAAACCTTGACAGAGAAGAATAATTTGGCCCTTTTGCTCACCATGGGGCTGCGGGAGTAGGCGCTGGCTGCGGCGCTGATCTGTGGAGAGAGAGTCAGAGCTCCTCCGAATCCCCCCGGGCTGGCCAGCTCCCCGTTCAGCCCTGCGTGGGACACCACGCCAAAATGAGCCGGGTATGAACCGGGGGGCACAGACATGGGACTGCGGAGAGCTGGGGAGGCAGGGAAAAGAGGAGGGAGCGGTTGAAGGAAGGGGGAACCATGTGCAGCACACAAACACACGAGTCACAGAGGGGCTGACGTGAACGGATTGCTTCATCTTCGTACTGGCCTGGCAAAAGAGCTCAGCTTCCATGTACTAGACCGACATTTCCAAAACTTTAAAAGATTAAAACCACATTTTTTTTTTTAGTTGATTCAGTTGGAATGGCATAAAGTGAATACTAAAAACTGGGGATAGCAATGTCTCAATCATATTTGGAACAATAATGAAAATCAATAGAAGCTGAGGGGAAAGAGAGGGATGGGGGACAGAGACAGACCGGGTCCAAATCTAACCCAGGTTGCAACAGCTGAATCGAAAACTCCATTAAGTTTTAATTTTAGTAAGTTTATTAACTCTTTCAGTTAATAAAGATAACAGTTACGTGCCAAGTTTCCTCTCTAACTGATACGATGAATAAAATATTAGGTTTGTCCTTTTCCCTCAGTTTGGTGTGCAGCTGTAACATGAAGGCAGAATTTATTTACTTATTTATTTTTATTTAACTTGAGCAATTCTCACCAAGTGGATCTGCGCTTGTTGCAGCTTTGCTGACCAGACGAAGGCAGGAGGTGCTGGGGCCTGGAGCTCCGGGCGCTCCTGTTGATCCCGGGGTGAGAGCCTCGCGATGGGACGGGGACGGAGTGCCAGACTTGGACAGCGGAGACTGGGACTTATCCATCTGGGGAGATACCAAACAACCAGAATAAGCAAAAAATTTCCCTGCCTAGCAGTGAAGCTGTCTTATCAACACTTTAAAAATATACTCCTTAGTTTGTTTTTTTTTTTTTTAGATTTTGTCAAAAAGCTACTGGAACAGTTTTATAACAGTAGTTAGTAAAACTGTCTTTTATTAACACAAATTTCAATCAGATATTTTATATATTAAATAATAATAATGAAGAATCAATGCAGACTAAGTGAATATGTTTTCTTTTATTGTTAAAGTATTAAAAAAAAAACACTGGATATAACGTTTTAGCATCCAACAACAGGAACTTTTTGCGTCATATTTTACCTGTGCAGGGTCCTTGGCCTTCCCTGGGGTGGGGCTGCGGGGGTTTGGCGTGGAAGGCGCCTCTCCTGCACTCGAGGAACCAGGCAGCTCTTTCCTCAGAGTCGGTGCCCGGTCCAGCCCGTTCCCATGGGGGGAGTGAGGCGGGCTGCCGGTGGGGGAGTTGGGCTCCTAAATGAACAAAGGAAGGTTGCAAAAACATTTAAAGCGTTTAAAGTTCATGTGTTGTTATTTTTTTTTAAATCAATGCTGATTTCTTGGAATTTTAACCTACAATGCACCTACAAAGTTGACAAAACTAGCTGATTTACTTCGCAAAGCAAATTATTTCCTGTTAAAGATTAACAAAAATGTTTTTTTGTTTTTTTTTCCCCACTATTGCTCTTGCTGCTGACAGTAAAACTGGGTGTGGATCCACATAGCAAATTTACTCTCCCCAATTTGACCTCAGCAGTTTAACTGCACAACATAAGCAACGCAAAGTGGTTCAACATGTTTAGTAAAAACAATTTGCTTGGTTCCAGTCATTTTACCAGTCCGTGCAAGACCAGTCAAATTTAAAAGTTGTGCAACCAGGACATTATAAAGTGCACAATTTAAAATGTGCACTTTTTAAAATGTGCACTTTATAATGCACATTATAAATTGCGTTATAATTTACTAAAAGTCCAATTAAATGTGCAAAAGCTGAAAATAAAACAAAGTCTTACGCTATAGATATATCAGCAATAAATTATTGCATTAGCTGCTGTTTCTTTTCTTTGGTAATTTTTTCTACCTCGCTGCAGCCAGCAGCAGCTCTGTTGTCACGCCGTCTATACTGACTCTTCTTCCTACTTGGACCTTTAAATAGAGCGAGAGCTCAGGGGACATTACATGAGAGAATAGACTGTCACTGGCGTGGCTGCAGTAGGATGTGGACCTGGAGATAATGTTGTATGTTGCAGATGCTTTCATCACCGGAGCCACCGTTGAGCCAGCGCTGCCTCCTCCGGAACAGAGCGGGCACATCTCTCACAGTGGGTCACAGTGATCAGCAGTCATTTTGTGCCACACGCACTGGCATGCATGCACACTTCAAACTACACTTTTAACCCACGCACAGGCACATTTATGTAAATGCATGTGGAATCCCTACATTGCAAAGAAGTCCTTGCAAAAACAACTATTTCTTTTTTGGTTCCGTAACCCACATTTGTCACTTTTTTTTTTCCCCCCCTTCCTGTCGGCTTTTGTAGCAGTTTCTAAATCACACAAGAGACCAGTTCTGCTTTTGTTAGCAAAATCAAAATACACAAGGCTTAGAGGAGAAATATTTTGGTACACAGCGTGAGGTATTAAAAGAACTAAAATCTTCCAGGGGCATAAATGGCTTTGCATATATTAAACTAACCAGACTGTAGTTATCTAATGAGAGGAGGAGGAGGCGGAGGAGAAGGGGAGAGCGCTGAAGAAACGGAGAAAAAGAAGACAGCAGAGAGACGGAAGAACAGAAGCCTCGAGAGTGCAGACGGAGGACAAAAATACACTCCGAGGAGAAAGATTTGAGGCGATGGGGAAAGTATTTGTGAATGTATGTGTTCTGTCGGCGTGTGGGCATGTGTGCGTGAACATGTTTCACAAGCAGGGAGCACAAACAGTAGCAGCTGATAATGAGCTTACACAAGGCTTCTCCCTATGTACAAGGAAACTGCAGCGGACAGCTGAGCGAGTAACGTACCTGCTGACTCCTTTCACGTTCACATGCACACGGAGAATAAGAAAGCAGGAAACCAGGCCAAACAAAAACTGCACATTTTAACTACTATGTGCAGGAAGGATGAAATTATCTGGTCTGTTTCTCTGCAACCAGCCTATATTCACTGTTTACCCCAAGCAATAAAAAATATTGTCGTCTACTTCCTTAATGAAAGTTTACCTGTTTTTTCTTTTTTGTTAAAACCTAACAAACAATTTCAAAATTTTTTATTTGATGATAAAAACCAATCAATAACAATGACAAAAATACTGCATATTCCTTGTCAAAGTCCAAGTGATCTCTCTGTGTAAAAGGAAAACAAATAAAAGTATCCACTTCTGATCTGAAAATAGTAAGCACACGGCCATTCAGACTACATTAACATCTAATTAATTTTGAGTTATTTGTATTTAAAACATTTTTTTTACAGGTTGGAAAGATGACACATCTTTAGTAATAGTTGCCTTGAGTCAGATTTGCTAAAAAAACAACAACAAACAAACATGTGAATGATTCATTTTTTGAGTTATGATTATTTTTTTGCTACTTTGTTTAAATGTTCAAACCATTTTGAGATCTTTTTAACCTTTTGCCTGATATGGTTAACTTGTTTCAGTCTCAATTAGTGCAAGGAACAATGAAGTAACAGGCTTCTAAATGCTCAGTTTCACTCACTGACTCACTGAATATCTGGCAAGCAGTGTTGCTTGGGGTAAAGTACAAGAAATCTATTAAAGTTTTTGCACATGAAACAACCATCTACTGCAGCCAAAAATTGGTTTATGAGAGCAGCGAGAGTAAAGGAAAAAGAAAAAAGAAAAAAAATCAATGAACTGGAATTTTTTTGCAAGTCTTGAAAGAGCCGATGGGAAGAGTGAGCTGATCATGCTGAGGCAGAGCCACTGTAAGCATGAGGTTGTCGATTTTAGTGCAGCAACTTGCCTCATTGGAGACGTCCACCACAAGATTGTCCTCGCTTTTGTCTCCATCGCTGTCCTGCAGAGAGAAAAACAACACGGGAACATTATTATTTCTTCGACACCCACGGTACAGTAAACCACACTTATAAATAAAGAGCTTTAATAAAGAAAGACATGCACAGTTGCTCAAGTGCATACACGGATCAATAAATCAATATTCATGGCTGCTTTTTGCTTCCTCTCACCGTCTGTCCTCCATGCAACATTAAACACAGAGATACTGTAGCTTATGGTCTCACCAAGCATCGCCCCTATGCAAACTCTGTTTTTTAATCTCTTACAATCTGCAGACACACACTCTTTCAGCTCTGCACCATCCATGGCACATTTTTAGCTTTTCGTCCGGCCATCTCTCTCTCTCTCTCTCTTTATCTCTCTCTCCATTTTTTTCCTGAAGTGAGAACGATGGCACTTAGTCACCATGGCCACAACGCTTTGATGCGATCGAGCTCTGATATTTCTATTGACATCAGTACCTAAATATGCAGAGCCCAAACAAAACAAGTCATTTAGTCTATTCCTGGAACAAAAACAAGCCGCCGGATGGACTGGACGTACGGCCAAGGTGAAGCGGTTTTAAAAAGACGGAGAAAAATCCGGAGGTCCAACGGGCGAACCAAGAGAAATAAGTGGTGAAATACGTCTCGGCAGATAGAACGAGAGGAAAGACGTTTGGAGAGCTGAAACTCTCCCTGCTTGTTTCACGCTAATGGGAAAGATTTAGGTTGCTGTTGTTGATGACGAACTGATTTTCCTGGAGGCAGCCTTCTCTAGACAAACTCCTTGTGTCAATCAATCTCACCGACTGCAAACACACAACCATCTAATTCATTACAGCTATCTGCCTTGGCTGTCTCTCCTCTGGCATTACATCCCCTCTGGCTGCTCGCTCTGCCCCAGCAGACCCATCCAAACCAAACATGGCTCTAAATGACGATGGGCTCTCGACCCCCTTGAGGCCTCTAGTGTCACAGGCAATCTGTCGCACACACCATCTCACACACACACATTAGGGAGTGTGTATCTACACAGTGCTTTCTTTGAACAAATAGCTGAAAATAATGACTTGGTGTAGACACGATAAACTGATTTTATTTCAATAACTTTCCGTATATTTAACTTACTTTGTATTATTGAGGGACATCAATCAAGCAGGTGTGTGTGTGCACCATATTCACTGGATCATGAATACGCTATTCCTATTTCTGATAACAAGAAAGTATTTTATATGTTATATTGTGCAGTATATTATTATTAATTGCATTAATCTTGTAGCACTGACTACACACTAATGCTCTGTCTGTACTGATGAAGATTCACTCACCTCAGGATGTCAAATACTTGAAGCTGCTCCACCTGTTAGCAGTATGACTTACTTTGTTTTGTTTTTTTCCAGCTCATAATTTGTTCTCCACTTGGTGGAACTCATTGACTGCTTATGTAGGTTTGAAATGTCATCATTTTATTAATGTGGACAATAATAAAATGAGACTGCAGTGAAGTCCGGATGCAGGAGAACATTGTAAATTTTACACCCGTCATCCAAATAAAACACCCACTATGCAACTTGTGGAGCATCATAAGTGACACTTCATGTGCTTAATTTAGATACATGACATAAGAATACAACTTAAGTACAAATCTATTACAGCAGTCGACAGAAACACATACATAGGCGTGTGGAGGGAGGGGCTCTTTATCATCACAGCGCCTCCTCTTGGCCTCAGCCCCTCCCTGCAAGGCAGAGTATCCTCCTGAGGGTCCTTGGCGCTCCTCGGCGGGCTGGCTGTCTGTTGACGACACCGACTTACTCTGAAGACAGACGGAGACACAAAGGAAGGTAGAAACATTATGGTCCATTATTGAAATAGAAACAGGTGATGGCAAAGAAAGAATATCAAAGGCCATAATCAATCATGTTTTAAAAACCGAGCGCGAGTACACACACACACCCACCTCAGTTATTCAGGTAATGGTGTGTAGAAACACTTGGGGAGACACACACATACACACACACACACACACACACACAGCAAGAAATGCAGACACAAGCACAGGTTAAGCCGTAGCCATAGCAGCACACAGGACAGCCTATAAAGCTAATTAGTGCTCTGCCCTCGACACACCAGTCCTCGTGTAAAATATGACTCTCATTATCGGGTAATAAAGCTGTTCAGCCATATTTACAATGCAGTCTGTGTTGCTGCTCGGTGCTGAAGAAATTCGATAGAAGCATTGTGTTGTGTTTGTTCACGTGGGAAAGGACAAGAGGTTCAGTGAAGGCCACTTGTCATTCTCTGCCCCTCATGTGGGGAGCAGTGAGGGTTTATAGAGGTTTCCACAGGACGGAGACCAAAGCAGAGCAGTGGAGGACAAAAGAGATTACACAGTAAATCTAAGCAAAGCTTCAAAAACTTACATTCATTTCATACTGTAGCATATTTTACTACTGTGCAGCTTTAAAAGCTAATTGATATGCATTTCTCTTGTGCTTTTTTTTTTTTTTTTTCCCCTCCCGGCCCATCGTTCACAATGCTTGAGCAAGTTCAACCTAAACTAATGAGAATCATATTTTCCCTGTGCTTTACAATCAATATTGTGTTTAGAAATTAAATTATGCAGGAGGTTTTGTTCTGTGTTGAGAGTGTAGAGAGAGAAAGTGAAAACAGCTGTTCTTTTAAATCATTTTTTATTTCATAATAAAAACCAGAGCAAGGATGTGCTGGCTTTAATTTTCCAACTTTTTGTTCTCCTTTTGTGCATTTTTAATGATTTATTGCTAACAAGAGGTTAGTGCATTCATGGTCAAGACCCATCTTGACCATGAATGTCTACTTTTGGGATAAATTTAAACTTTTATTTTCTCAGATTAGGATGACCAATTCTGAAGCTGATGAGCTGAAGTTAAAAAATGCAAAGGCATTTTCATTCTCCCATTTATTTAGTACAATTCGCCAGTATCACTGGCAGCTAAACAGCCCTCAGCATGATATTACCACCACCATGCTTGACAGCTAAACTGACATTCCTAAAACTTGACCTTTCACTTCTCGAAAAATATATTCAATCACTATGGACAAATGACTCAAACTGTGATACCTCTAAAATTAAAACCTCTCTGCAGAAGACATTTGACTTGTCCACCCAGGTATGTTGAAGGTCTCCATTTTAGAGGAGGTCTGTTTTGACCGTGGAGCTTCTGGTTTTTGATAGTTTTTGGGATATTTCTAAACACCCTAACCGGTTTTCCTTCATTTGAAGGAGGCACTTAGGATTAGGTGGTTAAAACCTGAAGGTCCCAAAACACACCAACATAGTGGAATTAATAAAACAGGCTCCCATTACGTTTATGAAATCCCCCCCAGCCTCAACCCTATTGAAAAGGTTGAGGTTGTGTGGAAAAAAACACTTGTGGAGAACTATGCTCAGCTTGAATGAAGCATAGTTTTCAACAAGTGTTATCTTGATTTTGAAATTCGCTGAAGTTGAAATATGGTCATTCCAGCTCATGATGAGTGTTTTAAACATTTTTCACTGGAAATTTGATGTTTTCATCGCATTGTGCTTGTTTGTTCTATTGATCCACAAACAGTTCAAACTAGGAAAGTTTTGAAAACCCCAAGTGTGGAAGTTGGAAAAATATTGGAGATGTCATTCATAGAAAATTTGTTTTATTTTTTTTGTTTTCTGGTACACTGCTGTCTTTTCACTGCTGCTTGACAGCTGTGTAACTCTACTCCTAATATAAACTAATGATACTGCAGACCGGGTTGCGTTAGGAAACATCTAATGAAATAGCCGTCACTCAGTTGTTCAATATCAAAGTGATCAGTTGTACAGACAGCTATGTTAATTGTCTAAATCTCAACTGGAGCATTTGTTGCCTCAAAAAGAAAAAAAAAATCAGTCCTCTATTCATCCATTTGGTAGTTTAGGTCCTTTCAGAGAAATGTGAAGTGCTGCAGTGTTAGTCTAATGTAGAAAACCTTGAGAAGCTCAAGGCTGACGGTGATGAGCTGCTATTGTGCTGCTGTTGGGTTGTGATACTCCTGAAACAAATCCAGTCGTTCTCTTCCTTTTTTTTTTTTTTTTTTTTTGCAAGGCCACTTTACAGTGTGTCTCAATTTCCTTCAGTTTATCACTGTCACACAAGCACTCACAGAGGGAAATGTGGGCGTACAAAATACTCGCATCAATATGCGCGCACACACACACACACACACACACGCACACGCAAGCAAAAGTACTCACCCTGCTGGGGGCTCCCTCTGGGTCATGGCGGAGGGAGGGAAGACGCAGAGAGCAATGCAGAGATAATAAGATTTATAGAGAAAAGAGAAAAGGTTTGACGTCAGCGCTGATAATAACAACAACAACAACAAGCCAGAGTCAGCCAAGGTTAGGATGAACTATGACTTCAACCCTACATTAAAGATACAAACGAACTATTATTTATATATATAAATTATCAAAATGACAACATGGTCAAACACTTATATCTTCTTATTTCCGATTCTTACTTTTACTTTATTTCTGCTTTTTTCCAACTAGGACTCCTTTAACTCATGTGTAAGCCTCTTGGCTCGGTGCCTGCGACCGCAGCACAAAGATAAGATATTCTACTGGGGTGAATCAGAGTTCAGTCAGAAAAGGCATTTCTTTCTCATCCACACAAGCTCCATGAATGCATCAGTCCAGTTTAAGACACAAATCTAAACAGGAAATATTACACTGTGTCCAAAAGGTGAGCAAAAATAAATAAATAAAGATGCTGCCAGTCAGAAATGATGTAGTGTGCTATTTTGCATTTTATCTTGTCTGGAAAAATAGGAATGATCTACATTTTATGCTGTGGCTGTCTAAATGTCTCCCCTCATTTTATGTATGAGGGAAATGTAATTTAACCAACACAAAAATTTCAATATAAATACAGAAATACACACCTTCATGGTATCGTGTGCAAACATTTGCAAAACACTGAGCTTCTTTAGCCCAAAAAGTATATGTTCATGCATTTATTTACTTATTTATTTCCTACAGCACACTTGTGACTTGTAAACAGCAGGGACATGTTTGCTGCTCTGTTGCATCATTTCTGTTTCAGACAACACTGGAAGCCTTTGGGAACAGATGAAAATCGATTGGTGTAGTTTTAAAAGCAATGTTTTGAGATCCCTGCGTGATTTCAACCGTTGCTTTTGTTTTGTTTTTGTTTTTTACTTTTCATGTTTTTATACAACAGTGAAGTTAATATTTTTAGGAGTTATTTGGACTTCTAATACCATTGAAAAACATACAATGATAAATAACAAAATGTACTTTATTTCTAAATTAGTTTCTATTGTAAAAAATACTGAATTTCAAGTTTAAAAAACAGTTTTTCATGGCTCGTATCACTTATTCTTCTCTTATAGCATTTTTTACAACAAGTAAATTGATCTGAATAAATCTAGGAAGTGAGATGGCCACAGAGGGAGGTTAGCTTAGTGTCTGGAAAACAAGTTCTTTGTTAATTTGACTTCTTGTGAATAATTTTCTTTCTTTAGCTACCAAAAAAAACAATCTTGCTTTTATATGACCTAATAAGTTTAAAAACTTTCAGTTTGTGTAACTGAATGGCATCTTCTCTTGTCTTACCAATTTTCATTAAATTGGTTTTAGATTTACAAGAAATAATGCGTTTGTATCAATCATTAAAATTTACAGTTTGTCTTGCTTGGCAAAGAATCCACAGATTTTTATTTATTTATTTTTTTACCTCTAAGGTGTTCTGGATCAAGATGGTTTCGCTCATCTTTGGAAGCGAGGTGGGCGGAGACCCCCAGAGCTCCTGTCAAAGCCAAAAGGCCAGAGCTCCCCGCACCAAGGGACAAGCCTGATGGGTGCGGTGTCAGAGGGATGCCGGGGGCGTGGTGAGACAGGTGCTGGAGCTGCTGCTGCTGTGGCCACAGGGAAAGAAGAGAAAGGGATGGGAAACGACAAAAAAAAGGAGGTTAGAAAAGTCGGATTTGAAAAGAGAAAAGGAGCTAAAAACACAATGGCTGCAGGTAGCGGGATGCAGCAAATGAAGCAGGAGAAACTAGAAGGTGAATGTGATTAAATTAAATTACAACAAGAGAGGAAATTAGAATGATGGTAGACAGGATGTGGATGACTGGACTACGACAACAAGAAGCAAAAACAGAAAAAGGAAATAGAAGGAGAAGCAAGTTGAACATCAGGGACACAAAGGGAAATAAAAAATAGTGAACATGAAAACCAAAATGTGATAAAAGAAAAGGAAAAAACAGAAAAGAAAGAGTTGGTAAGAGATGTAAAATATTGAGGCAATGGGATTTATTACAAAAGAAAAGCCAGGAGAGGGAATAGGGGAGGAAACGGCCAGGGGAAAACAGAAAGGATAAGAAAGAGAGGAAAATACTTGAGTTTCAGCGCAAACAAGGCGAAACAGAGTGAAATCATAAAGGCAGCGAAGAGCGAAGACGGACAAAGAGGAGAGTTAAATGAGTTCAGAATAAAAGAAGGAAAAGTGTAGCGCACAAAGAGCAAAAAAAAAGATGGGAGAGGAGAAAGGAGGACACGGTCAAAATAAGATGAAGAAAATGATCAAAGATTATGTGGAGGGCTGGATGGGAAAAATAGAGACAGAAAATGAACACAGATGGCAAAAAATAGAGAAGGAGAGAGTGGAGAGCACAGGAGCATCTACCGATAAAGAAGGGCTATTATCCTGAGGGGGGCATTAGAACGCGTTTTCATGTGTTGTTTTCTCAATCCAGCACATTAGACGTACACACACACCAGAGCACACACACCTCAGAGACAGCAGTGTTTGCAGAGCTGCGAGGAACAAAGGGGCTTTAAGTAGACAGTAATGCGATCAGAGCTCTGACAAGCTGCAGAAAAGCCCCATCTACTGCCGCACTCAGGACCATCACTGCATTTATGTGAAAACAAACATACACCCTGCAGAGCTGGCACCACTGCAACAGGATGGTGGACTTTGTCCAGAGATCTACAACAAATTCTGCTGTTCTAGAGTTTATTTCTTTGAAATAAATGTGAAGCAGAACTGAACCAAAAAACAAAACAAAAACAAAAACAAAAACATGTGAGTGAGATGTTATTAAGTCTGTGATAGTCCATTAGTAAGGTTACCGTTCTTTCTATAAGACTTAATGTCATTTTGGCTCACTGGTGTAACAAAAATTACACTTTTTTCTCGATTTAACTGAGGCGCAAATTGTCTATTAGCGTTCTTAATGACCAGCACGCTATCAAAGGTTTGCAGTATTCACGCAGTGCAATAAACGCTGTCCAGCTTTTTAGTTTACACATTTAGCATCACCTTCCTGACGAGTTTGCTTTGCAAGCAGCCAAATACTTTCAGGTTTTCTTTAATTGGCTTGCATGAAGACAGAAGAATACCCAAATAAAGAATAATTATGTTAATATTATATTAATAGCAGTCATTTCAAACTGTTTGAATATGTAAATAGCTGAACATCAAGATCTGCAGATGACATACAGTCGTATTAAGTCATAGTTTAGAGTAGGACTTTTCCATTGTGGAGGTCATCATTGGCGTGTTTTCCAATGACGCCTGTCGATGCATGTTCAACACCCACAAAGGATCATATTAGGATCCCTTTTCTGCCATCTAGTGGGCAGAGATTTCACAATTTATAAAAATGCATCACAATTCATGTCTGATGCATGAATTGTATTTAGGTGTGTTTACGCTGATGAATGTATGCGACTCACCCCAATAATGGCGTTTAGTTCAGCCATGGTGACCTGCTTCGCCCTCTCCACTGCTTGGACCACCTGCTGCTGGTGCTAAACACAAATATAAACAAACAGCATAACATGTGAACACACACACACAGTCATCATCACAGAGACATGCTGCAAAGCATGGGTGTAATTTATATTGTGCAGTTACTGTATGTTGGAATAGTACTCATAATATTTTAACAACAAACCTGTGATTTTTAATTTTTTATTTTTTTACTAGGATTGTATGTAATAGAACTTAATTGCTGATTTTTATATCTTTATGTTTGTCTATCGCAAAAAATACAGTGACATCCACTGGATTTTCTGATTGCAACAAAAATAAATTGTGAAAGTAAACAATTTTGCAAGGAACTAAACCAGTTGTAAGTATAAGAAGGCTGTCCAATTGCATTTCTTACTCAGATTGGTCAAATTAATGCGTTGAATAAACCACCACAGTTACTCAAAAAACAATGCAATTCACACAAAAGCAACATAAACATGTTTAACCTCTGCAGGCAGATCTCTACACACACCAAAATCCACACCAACTAAAATCTCACCTCTGTTTATTCATCATCCCGATGTAATGAACTACACAAATGCAAACATACGTGTGTGTGTGTGTGTGTGTGTGTGTGTGTGTGTGTGTGTGTGTGTGTGTGTGTGTGTGTGTGATGAAGCTTGCACATACACACCCAAAGACACACAGTGTTAATATTGATCAAACTGACAGAGCTTTGACCTTGCTGTCTCCAGGTAGCACATTCATCAGAGCTCACTCACATTCGGAGACAAACAGAGGAGCCTGCAGGGTTTCATGTTCGCGCTCACACAATCAAGGCACATAGATACACCGCAGAGTGATGAATGGGATCAAAACACACACAAAGGAGCGAATAATAAGACAAGTGAAAGGAGTCTTTAGGAAATGACTGTATTCAGTTTGCAGATTACAAGATGTAAATGTTCTGAAAACAACACATTAATCCAAATGTCAGCGTGTCTTTGCCACAAAAACTTTAATAGCTGCCTCTGGATTTCCCTTAGATGTAACATTTAATCAGTGGGCCACATATGAAGCGTCAGTGATGGCGGTTTTTCAACTCAAAGAGCCGCCTTTGATCATTAAACAGCACTGGATGAGACCTGCAGTGCCATAGTAGCAAACTACGATGGAAACAGAAACGTGATGCTTTCCAGAAGTATTCACACCCACTGAGTTTTTTTGGCATTGGTTTACAATCATAATGTAAATATGCGGTAGAAGAAAGTGGTGAAGAAGGCAACACAGACTTTTATTTGAAGTCTGTTCTGTATGTGTGTCACAAGCCATAAGGAAAAGATCAGATATGTGGAAGAAGGTTCTCTGGACTGATGACCAAATCAAAACTGAACTTCTGCCACCACCGAGTTTCACTGGTGGCAACATCATACTAAAGAGATGTTTTTCTTATGAAGTGGCAGCTAAACTGGAAAGGTAATAAAGATAAATACAGGGAGAAAAACTGAATCTCTAAGCCATTCTACTGAAGAATGGTTTAGAGATCAAAGTATTTCCTTGCATTACAATGACCTAATCAAAGTCGAGATCTAAATATAATAAACAATATGCGGCAAGATCAGACATTTCACGTTTACGGATCAAAGCTAAGATTCTGAGCTCATTTGGAGAGAAGAATGGGCAAAAATGTTTGTCTGCAGATGTCCAAACCTGGTGGAGTCATGCTCTAACAAACTTCCAGCTGTAACTGGGGTGGCTCTACAAAGCATCGACTCAGTGAAGCGTAGTACACAAATACAGGTTCTGATATTTATCTTTGAGGTATTTATAAAAGCATGCATCATTTCCCTTCCACTTTATATTTATTAATATAAAGTCTGGTCTCCCAACACCAAAATTCCCACTGAAATATATAGAAAAACGATTTCCTTTAAGTATAAAGTATCAATATATTCCTGATAATCCAACATAAAAAAAACAACAAAAAAACATCATGTTGTGTAAGTTCAAAAGATAAGAAACAAAGTGACATAGGGTTAATTATATCTAATTTTCAACATCAAACCCCTGCACAATTTGCAACAGAATTAATGAGTTTGCACATTTTAAAATGGCAATTTGTTGTTTTTACCAGACACTTTAACAAATGCTGAGAATAGCTGAACCGATTTTTATTTTCTTTGAATCACAAACACCAGGAGTGACTGTGCAATCCCCAGCATTCATTTTCTGCAGATCCAATGTACGAGACAAAGTTAATTATCAATATGCATGCTTGCATATGTCTTAAAGAGAATATCATGCATATCAATTAACACCTAAATTAGAACTTGTGTTCAATCACTTCACCTTTTAACTTGCTCTACCAGGAACTACTTATTAATTTTTTTTTTTTTTTTTTTTGCCACTGATAGACTTAAAGTGTAAAAAGGGGGGTTTTTTTTTTTTTTTTTTTTTTTTTTTTTTTTTTTTGGTGGGCATATTTTGTGTGCCTGTGTGTAAGTGTGTCTGGCAGCACTTACCTCCTGAGAGAGGAAAGGGATGATCTGAGCACAGATGGCACTGAGGCGCTTGACGATTTCTGCCTGCGATAGAGGGAAAGAGAGACCGACAGAGAGAGAAAATTGTGTCACATATTGTAAAGGTGGAAAATACACAGTAAACGTTGAGCAAACCATGTACCTCAACAGCACATTAAGGCTTTTGTTTGCATTCAAACACTTTCTTAATGAGGTATGTGAGCTGGGAACCTCTGTGAAAAACACAGAAGGAGGTGTTGCAGTGAAGAACCAGGATAGAGACCACATTAAAGCACCTGTCAGCGTCGGGTCTTTTAGCGCCTTCATGCTCTCATTATGCTCACTAATGCAGTCCTATCAACTTCAGCTTTCCTCCGTCTCTCATTCCTTTTACCGCTTCTTTCTCGGCACATGGTTCAAAAAAAGAAACGTAGCATTTACTGTGTTTCATTAGTCAAGTTCTTTTTTTTAAAGTGCTGTTCTGTCTTTGTTGGAAAATGTTGAAGAATTGTTTTAGCCCTTTTTCTTTAAGGTAGGTGAGGCTGAAATAAATGTTTGATTGTGAAAGATTATAAAGTTTCACAACCTTCAACAGCAGAGATAAGATAATGGTTTCTTCTTTTTTCTTGTTAGTTTTTGCTCTTCTAGGTATTTGCTAATTCAGTCCCCTTTGGAGGCTTTTGTCATGTTTGTTATTTGCATTTCTAATATCCGTTTTATGTAGTATATTTACATGAACCATCTTGGTTAATTTGGAATCTGACTGACGGCAAAATCATACATAAGTAACCAAGATCAATAGCTGAGAGAAGTCCACAGCCTCCACTTGAATAATGCAGTGCAGTGCAAAGATTTCCATTGTGTTGTATTTGAGTGAGAGAGAAGCAGTCATAATCAGTTATTTACAATATTGATTTTTAAATTTGATAACTAAGAAGTGTAATGAGAATCAGGAAATAATTTATAAATGTGTCTGAACAGTTAAAAAGTGGACGATCAAAGTGCAGGTTTGCTCTCCAACTTTAAAAACGCATTACAATGTGTTCAACACTCTTACTACCGCTGCTACTAATAATGATAATAATAAATCATTTTGTCGTATTATCCTGTCCTTCCACCCATCCATTCACACACATGGTAAAAGCACTACACTCCTACCAATCCGGCTGCCTGCACTCATTTTGTTACAGCACACAGTAACACATAAATACAAACACACTCTCCCCGGCTGTGTCTCACACACACACTGAACCTCTGCGGTGTGTCTAATTCTATCTGTCTGAGTGCCCTCAGCCTCATTTTGTTCTCTTCTTCACTCAGCCGTTCTCTCTTTCTCCACAGCAGCTCTCACACTGAGCCATTATTACCCTATTCATCCTCTTCCTCCCATCCCTCTCCCCCATCTCTCTCTCTCTCTCTCTCTCCCTCCCCACCTCTTGCAAGCTTCGTCTTCTATTTTCCCGTCATTTTACTTTTCTGTATCATTTTCTGTTCCTACAGTATAATTTTTCCATCCTTTTCGTCACTTGCCCTTTCTCTTCCTCCACATCATCAGTTGCTCTTATAATATATTGTCCCCGTTACATTGCTGTCACACTTTTCCTCCAGCTACCCATGCTGCTTCCCCCCCCACCCCCACTCCCCTCTGTCCTCTTTCCTCCACTATCTCCCAACTACTTGAGGATGTTGGATACAGAGAGCAGTAAAGGAAGCGTCTGAGTGCAGCCGAAAGAGTGACAGGGTCAGATACGGCGTCGCAAAAAGACCGAAGCACACAGACAATCAGCCAACCTGTCAGTGGCGGCTCCTCTGATCACGACATCAGAAAGGAGCCGTCACCAGAAACACAACTCTGTTCCATCACGTCTGACATGTGTCAGCGTATGCACGTGGAGGTAGGTGACCGTCCCTCAGCTCTTCTGCGCATTTGTTCAAACAGCAAGCATAAAGCACGCCTGACCACAAAGCTGGAAGTGAAAGTGAGAAAGAGGAACCTCGCAGACAATGGATTACATTTTACACCATGGAATAGATCACTGTGGCCGCTGCCGATGTGGGAGATCTGCACTACTCTTAAGCCAGAGCAATCATCTTCATGCATTCATGTGGTAGCTGCTTGACAATGCTGAGTCCTGCTTTACTCCAGTCTCTTTCATAAGCCTGCAGCAGCAAATAAAACACGTGGACAAAAGGGATGGGTGTGAGATTCTCATCGTATTGTGCTGGAAAACCCGGGGCTTCACAGCCTCCTCAGAGAAATGTATAACAAAACAAACATTTCCTTTATTTAAAACAGAAAACCAACAATTATCGCTGATATTAATATTATGGCATGTTGATTAGTACATGCATGCATTCATTTTCTGTTATTTTGTTTTTTGAAAAATAAATAAATAAATAAATCAATTCTGGAGCTCTGGAAAAAAATAAGAGATCACTGCAATGAACCCTGTTGAAAACCTCGTGGTTTTTCCACCAAATATTGATTTCTGAACTAAAACTTGTTTTCTTTGCATTATTTGAGGTCTGTATCTTTTTTGCTACTTTGATTATTTCTCATTTTCTTCAAATAAATACTAAATTTTTGCTTGGAATTTCAGAGACATGTTGTCTGTAATAAAGGAACAATGTTCATTTTACTCAAATACCTATAAAAAGTAAAATCAGAAAAATGTATCATTTTAAGTGGTTTCTTAATTTTTTTTTCAGATATGTATATTTATTTCACGAAATGATGAAATGACCTAAAATGAAATTTCAAAAGAACGCATTTAAAAATACAACAGAGTAGTAAATATGAGTGATCTTTATGCATCATCCACAATAAGTGTGCAGCTGCATGTGTGTAAGATGAAAAGTGAACAGCCCAGTTACATGAGGAGCTGTGATTATGACCTGCTGTTTCTGCTTAGGGACTGACGGCAGTAGGAATAAAGCATTCTTTAGCCTCGTCTTGTATTTCACTCTGCTGCCCCTCTGGGTTGAAGTGCATTTACTTTTTACTCATAGCTGGCAGACTCCTTGAAGATGGAGGCTGCTCCCCTGTGGACTTTGCATTTTCAGATGATCTGCAGCGGCGCAGTGGAGTCCTGGTGATCTTTCAGTCATCTCTACCACCCTCAGCAGGCGTCTGCCATCCCACATTTGTTCAGAGTCAGTGCTCTCCGCAATGTACTGTGCAGAATATTATAGCTTTTGCACTTCTGCTCATTTTAAAGTAACAGTAGGAGAGAAAGAAGTGGCTATTAGCTGATTAATCACTCAGGCTATCTGATTGGGTTGAGCTAGTTAACGGCTAGTTAAACATGTTGCTTGTAGCTGCACTTTCAAAAGGCCATTATTTCATTAGGAATGACGCCCGGCACTCTTTTTATTTCCACACTACGACCAACTGCAGTTTTCATGAGTAAAATTATCTTATAACAATCCAGTCTGTTTTTTTTTTCAATTTGTGGCTAAGAGAAAAAGTGTGGTAGCCTTGTTTAAGCCAGCTGACCAGAAGTGTGCAACAGGTGAGGAGAGTTACAGTGGAAAACTTATTGACTTGATAACTGCTTTGTTTAGTTCCTAAAATCTATCGCCATTTGGTTTTATCTTTTTAAATGCACCAGATTTTCTCCTACTAAACAGCAAGCTGTCCTCGGACCATAGACGGCTTCCTCTAATGACATCAGTCAGCTGTGACCAGGAAAGGCCACAGCTTTTCTGTGCTGGACAGTGTGTGCAAAGCAATCAGAGCTGGTAGCTGGAGCCATTTACATCACTGGTTTTGACTTTAAGAGCTATGCTTATAAAGTTAGCTGAATGGAAGCAAGCTGCAGAAGTTTGAAATGCTCCAAATGATCGGCTACGTTCCTCTCTGTAGCCAGTTCCTCTGCGATGCTTCGCTGTGAGAGGAGTCACTAAAGCACAACTGAACACCAAGCATCTCCCACTGTGCATTCCCGTTTGTTTTTCCCCATTATTCTCCTTTTCTTTCAAAACTGTAGAAATGTTCCTCCATATTTTAAGTTGTGGCAGACATTGGTGATCATGGTGTAGAAGCAAAAGGAGCAACACACATTCCCCTTAATAATGTAAATGTTATAAAACTAAACAGATTGAGTTACTAATTCTACTAAGCAGGAAAATAAGAATCCCTTTCCCTAATATGTTGTTTTCCAAAGGTTATACCATGTTAAATTAAGATTAAATACATCAAATAAAAACCTTGGATGAAAAAAAAAGTTTACAGTTGTTTATAAAAATGATCCTCACATTTTATCCAACAATAAAAAATATGCTGTCTAATTCTATTGTTTAAATTTTTAATCTTCATAAAATCAAAATGAAATTATTTCAGATGAAGGGAAATATGGTTTGTTATTTCCCTGCTCGTTCAGTTTTACTGTTGCTGCGAACTAAAAGTATAAAACAGCCAAAAATAACAAAAAAAAGAAAAAAGAAACTATTCTGTGCCGGGGTGAGTCAGTCTGAGCTGAAGCAGGTGTCAGAAACAACACATCACAGTCTCATTCTACAGCCGGCCAAAGCAATGCCACCAGGGAGCACTGGCAGAGATTGGCCGGATGGAGGGATGCCTGAATGGGTAGGTACAAAGCAGGAGAGAGAAACTCGTCAATAAAACACCTGAGGGCAGATATATGCTGCCAGCTGGCCTGGAAACAGATAGTGACAGAGTGAGGGAGAGGCTCAACATGAAACGGATCAAATATAGGTGAGAGAGAGAGAGAGAGGTTTTCAACTAGAAGGAAAAATTGGAAAGATTTTTGAGAATTCAGACAAATAAAAGGGAAGAGAGGTGAAAGGGGTGGGGAGGGGGGCAAAAATGAGAAAGAGAAAGCTAAGAACTGAAATTAGGGCCTTTTCTAGATTCTGTGGTGAATATTTGGCCCTAATGACGTCAACAAAGAGGCTCCATGTAAGACGGCGTCAGCGTGCTTAGGCTTGCCATCTCATCAGATCCCTGACAGGATGATAATCAGAAGGGAGGAAAACATTAAAGTGATCACACAGCCATGTTGCTGCATAATAATGCAACCAGACATAAACAGATTAAATACCTA